AGGAATCCCGACACGCGGCAGTTCTCAGCACACTGCTGTTGCCACGTGGCACTTCGCCTACTAAAGAAAACCAATGAAGTAGGGAGGAGGAGGAGGACGACGACGAGGAGGAGAGAAGAAGACGAAAGGAGGAGGAGGAGGAGGAGAAGGAGGACGAGGAGGAGAGAAGAAGACGAAAGGAGGCGGAGGAGGAGGAGAAGAAAAAAAGGAGGAAAGGAGGAGGAGAAGAGGAGAAGAAGACGAAAGGAGGAGGAGGAGGAGGAGGAGAGGAAGAAGAAGAAGAAGAAGGAAGGAGGTGGACGCTGATTCACCACGATGGCGACAGCAGCTTGACGGGCGGCGAAGACGGGGAGGGCTGCTCGACGGGGCAGCTCGATGGAGCGACGACGGCAGCTCGACGAAGACGGGCGGGCTTCGAGACGACGAGCAGCGACGACGGCGGGCAGGCTTCGAGACGGCAGCGACAGCGGACTGGCTTCGTGACAGCAGCGAACTGGAAAATACCGCGTTCGAATTCGAACACGGCGTCGTAGGCGACCAGGGGGGCGAAACGAGGTAGTTTGTTGGCGGCTGATCGCAACGTAGTCCGATCCCCCCCCCCCCCCCAAAAAAAAAAGAACTTACGAAGAAGGCCTTCCCCCCGCCTTACCGTCCTCCGAAAAACGAAACGTAAAGTTTCGAAGTGCTCCTGGGGGTCGGGGAGGCTGCCACTGGCCGAAAAAGACCTCCCCCCTCCCCACGCGAAATTGCGCTTGGCCCGCCCGGCGCCAAACCGGGGGACCCAACCGGCCGGCCCGCCCGGGACCCCTGCCGGACGAAGGCTGGGCCGCCGGGCGGCCCGGATTTTAACACAGTTTCATAATCCACAAAAGGGTGGAGGGAAAAAGGCAACTTACCTAAGTCAGAGGACTCCACCAGCAAGAAAGCACCGACCCCATCCATCATAGGTCTGAAAGCAATTGTAGAGCCCTCCCCGTCGGCCCACAAAACCACCAACTTAATTAAACAAACCCAACAGCATTAACACAAAAGGCTCTACTAACCAAAAGCACCGACCACACATGCCAATGGTCTGAAAAAAACACAGAGCCCTCCGTAACGGCCTACAACGCCACCACAAATTAAAACTTCACGGCAGGACCTGTACGCAACACCAAAAGTGTCATGAACCTCCCCCTGCCACGCAACCTCCGTAATCACATAATATCCTCGTTATGATCCTGGCCAATTTCGAGATACACATTCATCAGATAGTACAATGCCATCCAATTGCAGAAAGAAATGAATGAACTTGAGAGGAGAGAGAAGGTTAGAAGAAGAAGAAGTCAGAAAGGAGAAGAAGATGATGATGTACACCACCATAGACAAATGATAAAGCTCTTCTTCTTCGCTCAACACTCTCTTCCTCCTTATCTCCTCCTCTCTTATTCACACAAGAAATCATAGTACAATGTTGAATAGCTGAACCAGAATCGAAGTCCGAATCCCTCTTCTACTGCAGGTATCACTTGAGGTCCACCATAGCCATGGCCGCCTCCCCCACTCTTCACTCTCATAGGCCGATGTTATGGCGGACTACTAGGCCTTGCCCGGATGCCCAAAGGACAACCCAAAGCAGCTATGGCTGCTCTAGCCAGGCCGCCATGCCTGACTCTGCCTCGAAGCTCCCTGGTGTAGCTCAACCCCAGTTGGGGCCTTCATGTTGCAGCGCCCACAAGGGTGTTGAAGATGGCTGCCACCATAGCCGAGTAAGTACCTCTGGCGCTCCTCCCCCTCCTGTCCGTCTTTTTCCTCCGAGTCCTTGCTTCTTCCCCAGCAGCGCTGCTCCAAGCTAGCGCTGCTCCAGCTAGAGCTCCAACCAGTGTGTCGCCAAACTTGCG